CAGGAAGTCACTGAAACGGGAAACACATGCTGGGGACCCACCAGAAAAGTGTCTCTTATGCCACCCCAAGGTGCTTCGAGTACACTTCCGGAAAGATGCAAATTCCAGAGGAAGCAAAACTGCTCAGTTACACAAAGACAACGGAGCGAGTTACACTGTAGAAAATGCTTCATTGTAGGATATTACACAGATGTCTCCCTAAACGGCTTCACGATTCCTCACTTAAAGGCAGTTGGAAGAAAAAGGGCCTCTTTCAGTTGCCCTAAAAATCCCAGGAGCACCAACTTTGAATTTTAAATTGCTAGGTCCAGCACAAGTCTCTAAATCTCTGTCTGGGTGTGAGCATCTGTGACATGGGAGGCCTTACAAAGCACACACTGTCAGGGCTGCTTTGAGACTAAGCCCACGACAGGACCGGAACTAGAGAGGAGGCCTTCTCCTCAGTTTAACACCTGAGGCAACTTGGTGCAGACTCTGCCCGGCCCATGAAACAACGCGGTTACGCGCGTCCTTGCCGTAGCCTCGCGGTTACGCGCGTCATTACCGTAGCCTCGCGGTTACGCGCGTCCTTACCGTAACCACGCGGTTACGCGCTTCCTTACCGTAGCCTCGCGGTAACGCGCGTCCTTACCGTAGCCACGCGTTATTAGGCATTTCCGCCATCCCAGCGGTTCCACATGCAATGACCTCTTTTCATACTTGGGGCATAAATGTCCAAGGGTAGGACAGGTTTGGGGCCTCTTTGCCAATCAGCAGTGAGGAGGAATGAATAAGATCTTTCCTAATTCGGGAAGCGCTATTTTTAATGTTTATCCTAAGAGGCACCAGGAGGTCTGAGAAGCCCCACGGAGGAGGTTATTTTGGAAACAGCACCAAGCTGTCTCGGACCAAACAGGAGAGAAGATACAGGCAATGTGTAAAATTTAGATGGCTCCACCCAGGACAGCGGCAGCTGTGGGGTGATGATCAATTCCTTTAACTTTGGCAGCCCGCTAGAGAGACTGGCTGGGGATCATGCATCATTTAAAATGAGTTGACTCAGAAGGTTCTATCTTTGATGATGACCAAACCCCTAGAGGCTGATGGCTGGAACTCATGCTCTGAGCCACTGAGCCTTGTCTCTGCAAACATCCTCAGCAGAGAAGCTAATTCCTGATCTCAGGCAAGGACAGTCCGAAGATCATGAACACAAAGACAGCGATTCTTTTCCAAGATGCTAGAACTTGCCCAAACTGCTTTCAGGACTCCCTCCCCAGACCTGCTGCCAATCTCCCTTTGGGGCCATCACTAAGCCTCATGCATTCAGAGGCTCAAGGGGCAATTTATTACGGACTTGGTTAACTCAGGACAAATGCCTCCCAAAATATCCCCTCCAGCCAGGCCCCCAGGGTCCACCTGCTTGGCAGGGAGGTAGTGTTAGCATCCAAAGTCCCTCTCAGCCCATAACTATATTCCTTTGGCCAAAATATTTCCACATCTTGAATAATGATCTATTTATTTCTGCATTAACTCATTTATTCAAACTAAAATATTTATAGAGCTCCAGATATGTTCCAGGCACTGAGTTAGTTCTAGGGACACACAAAGGGGATAACAGATAAATCACAGTCCCTGCCTTTAGGGCACTCATGAGCTGACTTGTGATAGACTCTGGACATACTGAGCCCAAGAAAGTGTCAGCTCTGCCATGACACCTTCGTGTCTCCTTGCTTCACAGACTCCTCCTTCTCAGCCTCTGAGACTCTTCTCAACCTTGAGACCCCGCCACCCAGGGCCTTGCTGTCACTCCAACCTGGGTAAGGAGCCCTCCAGCCCGCCGTGTCCTAGAGCTGATGGCACTACGCCGAAGGCACCGACTGGCATGTCCGTCTCCTAGTGAGTGGGAGTCTGTGGATGAGACTGGATTAGACCGGACTGGATCTCAGTCCAGCTCTGCATCTACACTGTCCTCACAGCGCCAGGCACAGGACAGGCCTTGAGTTCATGCAGAACAGAAATGACTAGTGACGCCTGAGCTGAGAAGCAAATGCTGAAGGGTGGACTGGACAGCCTTCCAGGCATGGGCTTCAGCGTCATACTGATGAGCCGGCAAGAAGAGTTCGCCGACAGCTGGTCCTTCCACGGACGTGTGGCAGACGCCATCAGTCGTCAGCCTAACATCACGTTCTCAAGGCTAAAAGAATGCCATTTTTGTTCAGAATGGCAGAGTTTTTGGCCCAAAGAGAAAAGCTGCAGCTGGTTGGTCTAAGCCAATTACGGTTACTCTGGCCCCCATCTTTCCAGCCTCTCTTGCAGCTGGAAGAAACATGTGACCCAGTTCTGGGCCAAGGAAACAGATAACAGAAGTTTTCTGTAGTTGGGAGTGGGGTGGTTTCTTAAAAGGCTTTTGCTTTTCCTGATGTAAGGGGACAGATATGTAGATGGGGTTGGAAAGTTTCCTTTCTTTACTCCCTCTTTCGAAGGTGGGACGTAACATCTGGGGGACTATCTAGAAGAATCAAGGAGTGAGAGACTCTAACCCTTGGCCAAAGGGTCTGAAGGCCAAGCTTCTCCTTCCAGATGCCCGAGGACAGTCAATGAGGGTGGTGAACACTGTTTCACCATTTTTCTGGCTAAAAAGCTACTGACAGACTGGGTTTCTTTCACTAGCCCAGTAAGGACAGAATTATCAGGTAATCATTCAGGACCAACGGAAGTGGTGGCTCTGGGATTAAAGACAGGAACAAGCTTTCAGGAATCGAAACATATATACAGTTAGGTCTGGGTTAGTCAGTTGATCTTCCTTTTTGAAAACATGAGGACACAAAAAAAGGACATGGCTGATGACAAAGCCCCTGCTCCCTGGAGCTCATTTACTGTCGCCCACTGACATTTGTTTTTCCCTCAGGCTTTAGGAAAGGCAGAACATCCTAGACTCCTGGAGAAAGAGAAAGGTCTCTCCCCCAACAGTACAGGTTCCGCTCCACCAGAGGCCTCGACAGAGGCCGGGTACTGACCTCCCCAAGGGGAAAACTCGCCCTCGGTTTACCAAATGGCGAAAAGAGAGTGTGTTTGCTTATCGGTAGGAGGAAGGTTGCACAAGATAATCTCTGATGTCCTCCTGCTTTTCAGTGACACACCCACGGTCCTGTCTGGAAAACACAGGCCCATGCCATCCCCTGACTCTCAGCCAAGAGGGTCCCCAGTTGGGAAAAGAGGGTGCTGGCAACTATTGAATTCCTACTGTGTGCCCATCATCTGGCTGGGGATGTTATCTGCAACAACCATTCTAGGAAGATTGTTTCCATTACACAAATGAAAAAACAGAGACTAAGGAAGTTAAGAGACTCATGAGACAAGAGAAGTATCTAGATTTGAATAAAGGTCTACCTGCATCTGCAATCTAGGGGTAGAGATGGTGGCCCCAGTCTAGGGGACCAGGAGGACCCATGGAAGTGGGAGCAGAGCCCAAGGAGGGTTCAGTGAGCAGGGATAGGAAGCAATCACTGCCCATCCATCACCTCACGGCAGCCACTGCGGAGGGCAGCTGACTGCAGACGAGATGCCGACGTTCCAAGTGGGCAGGGAAGAGGCGGATGAGGGACGTGATGAATCAGACACCAGCAGACGCGGGGCACAGCTCTGCGGCTCCGAGGCCAGCCGGCCAGGAAACAGTCCACACATGTCCACTTCAGAGAGCCAACAGACACCGAGCCAGGCCCTAGGGCCCCAAGGATGACCAGACTAATGACCACACTCCTAGCAACGCCAGGACAGAGCACCCACAGGTCCGGTCCTGTGCTGGACTGTGTCTGCCCTGCTCCGGGATGGAATTAGATCTGTGACTGGCAGACACATGAAGATGGCTTGCTCAGCACCATACTCTTCCACCCTGTTGAATATGTTGACACTTCTAACTGAATCCTCCTTAGGGCCTTACACGATAGGGGCTATCAGTTATAGACGTGCAAGGAAAGGCACAGGCATAGAGAAGTTAGGAAACTGACTGCCCGAGGCCACTGATTAGCAAATGGGGCAGTGAGCACATTGGCTCCAGCACAGGCCCCTGACCAGTACCCCAATCAGTCTCTCCAAGGTCAGCCAGCCCATAGGGCCAAGGCTGTTTGGCTCCAGAGCCCACAGGAACGGCCGGCCAGCTGGCTACCCCCCGAGGAGCCCCTTCTGCCCCGGGCGGCCCTAGCCCACAGAGGAGGGGCTCCTCACTCGTGTGTTCTCCAAGTTAGGCCCACGGGTGCCTGCGTACACATGGAGGAGCCTGGGGCCTGCGGGGGTGGGCCACGAACACTTCGGCCCGCCCTCTATGGGTCCCAAACCCCAGACAGTTCCCGGTTCTCCCCCGCAAAAGCCAGCTGGGTGTGCAAGGCGGTGTGCCCTCCCGCTGTCTGGCCTCCTACAGGTGAGCCTCTCCCGCAGGCCTCTCCACACGACACCAAGACGGACGGAAAGAGCGAGGCCGTACGGAGCAGGGAGAACCCACGGGCGCGGCTGCGTGTTCGCTGCCGGCGGGTGCTGTCCAACACCCTGTG